TCTTTCTGTGGGGAAATCCTGCCTGAACAGGTGTCTGCACTAATGAATAATTTGGAAATCCGAGCAGTTCACCACGGAAAATTGCTCAGGAAATGTGAATTGTGTGGGATTGAATCCCCTGGGAATTGTTCATCACTGTGAAAATTTTGTTTAAAAATTGGATTTAAAGGGTGTGGAAACCTCGGAAAACTCCCCCAAAAAAACTGTGAGAAAACGGAAATAAAAATTAAAAATAAAAATCTTAATTGTCCTGCAGCCCCTCAGAATAATTATCCCTGCGTCTTATGACGTCATTAATCCAAATATTAATCAATCAATTATTATTGATTATTAATTCCCGCCAAAACTCCGCCCAAGTCAAAATCATTGCATTCAATCAATTAAAATAATTAAATTAAATTAAAATAAATAAAACCCCAGTGGAAAGGAAATCCCATCCCTGAGAATTCCCCCAGGGCTGAGCCTGGATTAAAGGGGATTGTCCCAAATAATTCCCAAAAGGATTTTCCCAAATAATTCCCAAAAAAGGATTTTATCCCAAATAATTCCATAAAAGGATTTTCTCAAATAATTCCATAAAAGGATTATCCCAAATAATTCCAAAAAAGGATTTTATCCCAAATAATTCCCAAAAGGATTATCCCAAATAATTCCCAAAAGGGATTTTCCCAAATAATTCCCAAAAGGATTATCCCAAATAATTCCCAAAAGGGTTATCCCAAATAATTCCCAAAAGGATTTTCCCAAATAATTCCAAAAAAGGATTTTCCCAAATAATTCCAAAAAGGATTATCCCAAATAATTCCACAAAGGATTATCCCAAATAATTCCCAAAAGGATTATCCCAAATAATTCCACAAAGGATTTTCCCAAATTCCAAAAAGGATTTTCCCAAATAATTCCATAAAGGATTTTCCCAAATAATTCCATAAAGGATTATCCCAAATAATTCCCAAAAGGATTTTCCCAAATAATTCCATAAAGGATTTTCCCAAATAATTCCCAAAAGGATTTTATCCCAAATAATTAATTCCAAAAAAGGATTATCCCAAATAATTCCAAAAAGGATTTTATCCCAAATAATTCCACAAAGGATTCCACGTGCCCTGGGATTTGTCACAGCAGAGATCAGGGACAATAAAACCCCACGAGGAGGAGGAGGAGGAAGAGCAGATTAAAAAATAAAATAAAATAAAATAAAATAAAATAAAATAAAATAAAATAAAATAAAATAAAATAAAATAAAATAAAATAAAAATAAAAGGAGCTCCAAAATCCAAACATCTGCTCCCTGGGGAGAACAAGAGAGGGGCAGAAAATGGCAAAGCTC